GAAAAAAAAAAAAAAAACAACGAAGAGCTTGGAAATCTCGAAACTCACAAAGAATCGATATACTATATTTTGCCTCCCTTAAAACCAGACACATGATTTAAAAATTTATTTCAAGCGTGCAAGTTCCTTGAATCGCCCTGTATGCTAACCGTATTATTTTATACACGACGAATGTATATTTCTTTTCGACAAATCTGCAAAATTCAATTTTCTCGGGAAACGAAACCTTATTATCCTATAATATTTAAGATTGAAAAAATTTGTCCTTTCTTTTCGTCAATACTACAAGCAATTATTTTATTTTTTAACAAAAAATAAGTATTGGAAAACACATTACACTAACATAGAGTGTAATTAAATTATAGAACGTATCAAACGTAACGAACAAAAATCATTTCTGATCTAAACACGAAGGCCTCGTTTCGAAAAACTCTAAACTTATTGCGATAATATACACTTGCCAGAGCATGTACACGCACGGTGTAGAAAGTCGGCGCCTGTTTCTCATCCAAATTCCAACATCCGGCGACAGCCAACGCACGTCCTTCCGGAATCTAGCGAGACATTCGCGCGAATTTGTGTTCGGAATGCTGAAGACGCGGGGAAGCGATGGAATCCGTTAATCGGGGCTTCAAAGGTGGTGGTACTCGCGCCGTGGAACCGAGCTTTCCTCTCGAATTGGCACGATATATCTCGATATATAGCTGCTGCGCTTGATAATCGCATTTTTCCCGGCGTTTCGAACGACGAAACATGTTAAGTTTCGATCTCGCGGGTCAGAAAATCGCATTTCCCCCTCCACGTTTTCCTCGTTTCTTTGTTCACCGCTCACGTACGCGAGAGCAAACGACGTGCTTTCGTTTGGCGAATAAAAATTAACGACAAAGTGCAATTGCATCGATACGCGAGATACCAGGTTATGATTCAAGTGGCATTCGATAACGAACGAGCGCGTCACGCCGCGGAAATTACGAACAAACGCCGATGATAAATCGAAAGAGGCGTTTCTTCCCCTCCCGGGCTTTTTAACTCTCGCTAACTACGGGCTGGCGTAGCCGAGGACGACGTTGATCGCGCGACGACGCATCGATACTTCGCGCGATTTATATATTGAATCGGATTCC